TTCCAGGCCAACATGGCGACTTCTCACTGTGGACAATGTCCAATGTAATACCCACCACGCGCGGCTGCGCGCGCGTACGCGCGTCGCACGCTGCGCCCATGAACATGTCGGGGAAACCATGTTAACTTCGAAATCAAATCGGCCACCGCTAAGGGTTCACTTTAGTTTCCAAGCCAACATGGCTACTTACCCGTACCCATTGTTGACAACACAAGATTCAGCACGCGCGGACGCGCGCGCACGCGCGTCGGACGCTGCTCCTATTGATGAACACGTAGGAGAAGCCATGTTAACTTCGAAATCCAATCGGTCGCCGCTCAGGGTTCACTTTAGTTCTCAAACCAACATGGCGACTTTCACATTGCGGACAATACAAGGCCCACCACGCGCGGCCGCGCGCGCGCGTACGCGCATCGCGCGCTGCTTCTAAAGATGAACACGTCAGAAAGCAATGTTAACTTGGAAATCCAATCGGGCACCGCTAAAGCGCTAAAGGTTCACTTGGCTTACCCAGCCAAGATGAAGACTTGCCAGCGGTGGGCAAAACTCAATATCACCACGCGCGGCCGCGCGCGCACGCGCGTCGCACGCTGCCCCCATGCCCGATGGATGAACAGGTCAATGTAAGACTGACACTGTAAAGCCATGCTAACTTCGAAATACATACAACCGGTCACCGCTAGCTAGTAGCTAGTGAGCTAGGCTAGGTAGCCCCTGAGGGCACACTTTGGTTTCCAAACCAACACGGCGCCTTTCACATTGTGGACAACACAAGACTCACTTACCACGCACGGCTGCGCGCGCGCACGCGCGTCGCACGATGCTCCAATGGAGAAATATATATATTAACAAAAACCATGTTAACTTCGAAATCCAGTCGGCCACCGTTAAGGGTTCACTTTAGTTTCCAAGCCAACATGGCTATTTTCCCATTGTGGACAATACAAGACTCACCACGCGCGGCCGCGCGCGCACGCGCGTCGCACGCTGCTCCAATTTCATGAACATGCAGGAGAAGCCATGTTAACTTCGAAATTCAATCGGGCACCACTAGGGCTAGGGGCTCACTTTTAGCTTCCAAACCAACATGGCGACTCTCCCATAGTGGACGACAGCAAGAATCACCACGCGCGCGTACGCGCGTCGCGCGCTGCTTCTATGAATGAACATGTAAGAAAGGCGATGCCGCTATGTCTATGTTACCTTCGGGATCCAATCGGTCACCGCTAACGGTTCAAGTTAATTCCCAAGCCAACATAGCGACATAGCGACTCTCCCATTGCCACTGTGGACAACACGACAACACAAGACTCACCACCCGCGGCCGCGGGCGCGCGGGCGCGCGTCCCACGCTGCTCCTATAGATGAACACGTAGGAAAAAAGCCATGCGAACTCCGAAATTCAATCGGCCGCCGCTAAGGCGCTAAGGCTAAGGGCTCGCTTTGATCGCCGAGCTGCCAAGCCAGCATGGCATTGCCAGATTGCAAGCGCGATTGCCAGATTGCAAGCGCTGCGCGCGCGTACGACGCACGAGCGTCGCACGCTGCTCTTATTGGTGAACATGTAGGTAGGGCCCATGTTAACTTCGAAATCCAATCGGCAACCACTACGGGTTCACTTTAGTTTCCACAACAACACGACAACTGTCCCATTGTGGACAATACAAACTACAATGGTACAGGGCCCACCGCGCGCAGCCGCGTGCGCGCGCGTATGGCGCACGCGCGTCGCACACTGGTCCTATGTCCGGTGGCATTGGATGGATGTACAAATGCACGACAAACCATGCGCAATTCAAAATCCAACCAGTCACCGCTAAGTGTTCACTTTAGTAACTTTAGTTCCCTGACCAACTTGGCGACTGCCTTATTACGGGGAATACAGAAGCCACCACGCGCGAGCGCGAGCGCGCGCGTCGGAGCGTTGCGCGCTGCAACAATGGGCGGGCGCGCAAAAAACACAACTTATGTTGGAAATCCAAAGCGCCACTGGTATGGGTTCACTTTTCACTCCACTTCCCAAGCCAACTTGGCGACTGCCCCATTGCGGGCAACGCAGAAACCGCCAGCGGCGGGGCGCGGAGGGGCGGAAGCCCCGGCCCTAGCCCCAAAGCCCCCAGGGCCAGCGAGGGGGGCGGAAAGGGAGCGGAGAGAGGCGGGGCCAGCGAAAGAGAGGAGGGGGCGGAAACCCAAAAATTTCCCCCTAAGGCCAGCGGCGGGGGGCGGAGGGGGCGGAAGCCCTAAAGCCCTAAAGCGCCAAAGGGCCGGCGAGGGGGCGGAAGGGGCAGGGACCTCAAAGCCCCACGCCACTAGTCACTAGTCACTAGTCACTAGTCAGGCCCTAGGCCATAGGGCGCGGCGGGGCGCAGAGGGGGCCCAACGGGGGGGCGGAAGGGGCAGAAACCCTAAAAACCCCACGGGGCCAACGGCGGGGCGCGGAGGGGGCGGAAGCCCTTTAAGCTTTAAGCTTTCAAGCCCCCTAGGGCTAGGGCAGCGAGGGGGCGGAAGGGGCGGAAACATGGTAGTGGACAATTTCGAGCCCCTACAGTGGCCCTACAGACGGCCCAGGACGCGCCGCGGCCGCGGCGAATCTATGGGCTGGGTGGGAAGGCACATCTATGATTTAGAATCTATGGCTATGGGTCGAGGGGTGTGCCGGGGATTCCTGCTGGGGTCCTCCTCTCTGTGGCGCGAGCCTGCCCTCCTGGGGCTCTCTGGGGCCTGCGTCGGGGACCCCCCAGGGCCCGCCGCAGTCCCGAAGAGGGTTCAACAGGGCCCCCCCTGGGGGGTCCGAAGGGGGCCCCAAGAGGCCACCCACATTGCGCGCTGCGACGTTAACCAAAAAATGGCAGGCTTGCGCAAGGGATGCGCCGACGCGATCTGCGCGATGGGCGTGCCGAAACGATCCGCGCGAGGGGCGTGCAGAGCCCTGGGCCCTAGGCCCTAGACCCCATACCCTATAGTATTATAGGGCCCTATAGGCCCTATACCCTATAAGCCCCTTGGGACCTTAGGCGTCTTGGATATCTTTGGTACATGCTGAGCATGTGCGCCTGGACTTCGCACGGGGTGGGGCACGGGCCTCGAGCGGCCGCCCCGCCCCGTAGGCCCAGAATGGCAACCCCACAACGGGCCTTGCCAGGCGCCCCGCAGCGCTCGGAAACAGCCTTCGACCCGCAGGCCTTCGACCGCCCGAATGAGGGGCCCCTCCGCCGCCAAGGGACGCTGTGCCAGGGCGGTTAGCCACGCTGAGCAATATCTGCGGACAGCGTGGCGCCTTGCCCTGGCGCAGGTGTTCTCGCTGATGGCTGCCGCAATGGGGGGGCGGTACCTTCGCGCCCCCCAGCTCTCTCGCACGATTATCTCGCACCATGCGGCTCAAGCTTCAAGATACCCAAGACGCCCACGGCCCCGAGACGCACGGCCTACGGCCTACGGCCTACGGCCTACGGCCCTGAGACACCCAGGGCCCAAGACGCCCAATGACACAAGATGCCTCAGGCCCCAAGGTACCCAGGACGCCAAGGCCCCACAACGCCTAGGGCCTAAGGCCTAAGGCCCCGAAGTACACGAAGACGCCCAAGGCTCTAAGGTCCCAAGACGCCTAAGGCCCAAAGACGCGCAAGGCCCCAACATACCCAAGACACCTAAGGCCTACGGTCCCAAGACGAATGCGTCGAACGCGCACCCCTCACGCGGACCGATGTGGAACTCCCCCCCAAGAGACCCAGGACCGATCTCCTGTGCCCATGGGAGATGCGGGCTGCGCACGGACTCACACCGACCGATTCGGATGCCCCGGGGACCCCCGAGAGACCCCAGGCCCTAGGCTAACGGCTAACGGCTAACGGTTAGAACCCGGGCCCCCTCGGTGCCCAAGAGGCCCAAGAGGCGCCCCAGACTGCCCCAAGACGGCCCAGGAATGCTGTCCAGCAAATGTTTTTTTGAGAAGGCTCCCAACAAAAAACTTCCCACGGCTGCCCAAAAGATGCCCGAAGAGGCCCCAAGAGTCAAGAGGTCCCGAGAGGGCCCCAAGACTGGCCCAGGGCCAGGGGACTCCGAGAGAGCCCCGAGACGGCCCCAAGAAGGCCCCAGAGGCTCCCAAGAGGCCCCGCCCAAGAACACGCAAAGGTCAAGACTCAAGACAGCCCAAGAAGCGCCCAAGATGGCCCAAAAGGGCCCCAAGACCCAAGACGGCCCCAGCAGGGGAACCAAGAACCCGAAAGTCGAACCTTTCGCCCCAAGACGCTCCCAGGAGGCCCCCACAGAGGCCCCCTAAGCCCCAAGCCCCCAAGACGCCCCCCTAAGGGATTTAATTAAATCAGGACCCCCGAGAAGGCTCAAATAAGCATAATACACAGCGATCGGTAACGTAAAATGATTAAATGCTCTTCACACCAAGGCTCCCCAGAGCGCACGGAGACGTAAACGCGCTGATAAGACCCAGGCTCCCAGCAGAGAGCGATGATGCAACGCGTTCCTGACACCAAGGCCCAGCCAACGCTCAGGAACGGGCAGCAAGGCAACAAGAGCGGACGTAACAAGCTCTCAACGCCAAAGCTCCTGGTACGAACGGTGGTGTGAGTAATTTCGGTTAATTTGTTTGAGGCGCTCTGTCCGTTTCCGTGCCAGGCCAGGTCTTCTAATCAGCCTCGCAGGATGGGGCGGCCTGAGACTTCGGCTGCCTGACATGCCTCCTATCCTATCCAAATCCTAGGTCCTATCTAGTCCTAGCTGTCCTAGTTACTAGTCGCCAGTCCTAGGTCCTAGGTCCTAGGTCCAAGGTCCTGGCTCCTCCAAGTCCTCCTAACATGGGCCATCCCCCATTGCCATCCGCCTCGCTCCTCCATCTGCGCTCCTCCACGCTGGATCCCAACTCCCTGCCCCCCTGTTTCATGGGCCATGAGCCATGCCATGGCTCATGAGACATTGCCCTCCCTCCTTGCTCATTTCCCTGCTGTTGCTGACCTTGCTGCGACAAATTTCGATCGACAAATCACCGCTGCAATCTGGCGCCCAGGGTTGATATTCTCTTTGAGGATCTGGTCGATGCTCACCCCGACGCCCTCGTCGAGGGCCTTGGTGGGCGGCGACTGGCGGTGCTGGCTGCCGTGTCCGATCTTGCTGGGGGTGCTGAAGGTGCTCTTGCCAGCGAGGGTGATGGCGCATGAAGGCGCTGCGCTCGCAGCCCCGCCAGAAGCCATGGACAAGCTGTCGAGGGCGTCCTCCTCGCCCTCAAACTTACCAAGTCGCTGACGGCGGGCAGGTGGAGCACCGTCGGCTGCGGCAGCTGCAGGCCGCCGGGGCGCTTTCGGCACTGCTGGAGGCTTGGTGGCCGATGCTCTGGCCAATCCCTGCGCCTTGGGCCCTGGTGCTGCTTTGGGCCCCCGGGCTGACTGGGCAGGCTTCGCTGATGGCGGAGGCGCCGCAGCTGCTGCGCTGGCAACTGACAACCTGCTCCGAGATACAATCCCGCCGCCCTCGTTACTGTTATTGCCAGCGCCTGTGTTGAGCTGAGTCTCCTGACCAGCCTGAACCATTGCCTTGTAGTCGGAGGCCAGTGCGACGAAGTGATCGTACCCCTCGATCTTGCTCATGTTCTTGGCCATCAGCGGCTTCGGCCGGTTGTCGCGCTGCGTCTGGTCATGGAAGCACCAGATCTGGCGAGCGTGGTCATCGTGAAGGGTGTCTTCCTCCTTCAGCACTCGCGTATCCAATATACAAGAGGTGGTAGACCTGCAAGACACGATAGTGTGAGGCAACTTATGATCCCTAGCAGCGTCAAGCGTCATCAATATTCCACTGAGCTTGACCCCCTCCCAATCGTAGAGCTCCTGGACGTGCGGTTGCACCTGTGGGCATTCAAGCGGGGCCTTGAAGTGAGCGCAGAAGGTGGCGTCCTTGATGAAAGCGATGTCTTGGTGCATGCTAAAATCCCGGGTGTGCCGAAGGACGACGCGCTGAGGGCACCAATTCGGCTGCTTCAGCTTCTTGAGAACAGAGCGCCCCCCCTGGAACTGACTCTTGAAAGTCTCATCAGAATGGTACAACTCGATGATCTTATCCTGGTTGCCACGGCAAATGAACGCCTCAGAGACCTCCCCGCACACTCTGCAAACCCATCCGATGGGCGTAGTGATAGCGTCACCAGTATCACGGTCCTGCCAGAGAACGCAAACCTCGAACCACTCAACCTTGTTGCTCGACTCGCCGCAGATTTTACATACCCTCACCATGACCCTCTTCAAAGCAGCCTGCTTGGACTCAGAGATCACGACTTTGGGAGCAGAGCGCGCTGTGCTGGCGGCAGGCGCTGGAGCTTCATCAACCTCGCGCCACTCTGAAGGGGCTGGGGCCTGCTGCTGCTGCTGAGAGGCCTCGCCATCGCTCTCGAAGAGCTCATCTAGCATCATCGTATCCTCATCGACTGGGCGCTGACTCTCAGCGGCGACCTCCTCGACATCAACGCTGCCCATCCCGAGGGGCTGTGCAGGAGGTGAAGTTCGCGGCGTGGCGCGCTGGCCGGGCCTGGCTGGCCCTCCTGGGGGCTGCCTCCAACCCCAAATGTTTGGCCCGAACGGCTCGCGGCAGCATAGGCATAAGCCTTAGGGCCTAGGGCCTAAGGGGCGTCGAAGCTTCGCGCTGTAATCACCCAAACAATGCTCGCACTTGGAGACCCTGGCTGATTCGGCGCGTATCTGGCCTGACCGAGGACTCATTCTGCATTATGTCACGAGGGGCCAGCCTAGACTCTAGACTCTAGACTCTAGACCCTAGACTCTAGACTCTAGACTCTGAGCCTAGGGCTACTATGTTTTTTTTTTTTTTTTTTTTTTTTTTTAAAAAAAAAAAGGCCTAGGGCCTAGATTAGAGCCGACATAGAACGTGATACATAGACATAGTACATAGTACATAGTGGCATGAAGCCTAAGACAATGAACTAAGACTAAGGACTAAGACCTGGACCTACAAGGATATCATTGCTGACTGCGCCCACGATCATCACTGTCGGGGGCCCGCGCTGGGGCATCTCGCTGTCCACATGGCACATGGGGGTGCGAGTGCAGGAGGGCAGGGTAGCTCCAGCGAGTCTGCGACCCTATGCGAGGTCATTCCACCCCTGGTCAACGCACATACTTGCTGCACCGCGTTCATCGCCCCACTCTGGCCCGCTTTCCTTAACTGTGCGATGGAATTAAGACTACGACTAGGACCAAGTAGAACCCTTTGGGCGTGAGCTTACTTGCATGCGCGCAGCGAGACAACATGGAAAACCCTGCGAGCTGGGGTTGCCCAGTGGGGCCCAGAGAAACATCGGGCAGTCCGAATCCACCGCCATCCTGCCTAAACCTGACCCCTGGGACCCCTGGGAAAACACGGCACATCGTTTCGCATGAGACGCATGCCCTGGAACCTCAAAGACTCAAAGAGACCCCCTGACCTCGGCGCCCCTGCGGGTCAGAGGAAGAAGGAGGAGGAACAAGAAGAGGAGGACATCAGCAGATTCAGTAAATGAGGAGAAGGAAGAAGTGGAGGATGAAAAAGATGAGAAAAAGGAAGAAGGGGAGGAGGAAGAAAAAGAAGACGAATTTGAATATAGATCCGGAAGAGGAGAGGATGAGGATGAGAAAATGCTTCGGTGCCGTGGTGGGCTCTCTCATTCCAGCCTCATGCGGCCTGGTGCCCGGGAGACCTCAAGGACATTGGACCAACGTGTATTTTTCTGAACGAACCTGGCTTGCGACAGGAAGGATGCCCGGCACCCGGTATACCCTGCTGCAGGGCTGTCGCAATAAGAAATAAACTGTTGCAATAAACCCCTGCAACTGCCCATGGAAAAGAAATGCCACGTCTCCCGTGCCCGCCCAATAACGTCTGGCGGCTAGCGTGCTGGCTCTTGCCACCAAGGCATGGTGGGGCAGAGGTAGAATGGGTACAAGATGGCAGCAATGCAAGGGAGCGAGAAACCCTCCCCGCTCAACTTTCGAAGCTGGTTGCTCGAGAAGTGGCTCAAATCAGTTATTGCAGGCCAACCTTGCAAACGCATCATGTCTGAACCGCTCAGCACATAGTCCATCTCAAAAGAATACAGCATCGATGAGGTCAACATTGTGCCTGTACCCTCCTTCCAAGGAGACCTCGCCACAGACTGGCTGATGTTGGCGAACCAGCCTTTCCGACCTGCTGCAACCATGTCGGCGGGGGCGTCCAAGCCCAGGTCCGTGGACTTCCTCCTGTTGTTCTTCCTCATTGTCGACATGCGGGCTGCCCAAGCGCAATCAAGGATGTCGTGGATATTGGGGCGACATGGAACGCCGCGCAAGAGGATGCCCGGCATGGTAGACCACCCATTGTATGTATCACTGATGCCCAACTTGTGGCGGGCCATGACTGAATCGGACTGCCACAGAGCGAACGCCTTCTTGTTGCGGTTCCGGGCGCCCTCCTCCTCCTCGACGACCTCCTCCTACGAAGGGTGTCCAATTGAATATTTGGTGGGTCCAACGGTTGGAGGCATGGCATGGGCCCCAATGGCCCACTGGCAATCCTCTAAAATCTAAAACCCTAAGTCCTAACATGACAGACGTGATGGCGCTGGGCCGATACTCTGATACTCCCTGGACGGGGGGGCATTTACTGAGATGTCCTGCTGATCCGCGAAGCGGTGTCTGGCTGCAATCGCTTCCGAGGGCTTGGCCCAAGGCCTTGGGCCAAGGGCTATAGCGGCTAGGGCTAGGGCTAGGGCGGCTAGGGCCTAGCCGCTATACGCTATAGTATAGTATATACATAGCCGCAGCCTGGCCCCACCCCCTGCTAATCATGGCCTCAGCATCCATCACCAATATCCTCCATGTGCGCTGCATTGGCCCGGCGAAGCCCAAAGATAATTAAGGGAGGGGGTGTTTGGTAATCATTGTACAAGTGCAACATCGCGATGGAGCCTGTTTTGGGTTGTCTTCGGGTGGTTTTCGGGCGTCTGGGGCTGCGCTGGAACGGTTACGATGTGCAGTGTAGTTACTACCTACGCACTACCACTATCACAACGAGGGCAACTGCGCCCCCCAGGGATGTTGCACCCAAAAGGGGGGGTACGTGCAACGCTTTTTCCCGATTCCCGAACGCGCGCGGGGGCGCCAACCCAGAGGGGGGACGGCGCCTGCAACGGCAACGGCCTGGCCCCAGCACGACCAGCGCCAGCCCGACGCCCAACATACCAGCCTGCACACTGACACATGACATACATACATACATACCACCACGACCTACACCACGAATAGCAGATAGCACCAGCGCCACCAGCAACACGACCAGCGCGAGTTACTACCTACAAGCATCTCGGCGCACCGCCTGCGCCATGCCAAGGTGGGGGTGAATGCAGTGCGGTGCCTGCTGATGGGCGGCCAGTGTCAACCGGTAACTGGTGGAGACGCACGCCGCAAGCCCTTCCTACCGTTGCTCGGCGCCCCGACGGGGGGGGGGTGATGCTGCCGGGGCCGAGCAGGCCTTGGACCCCAGGCCCTCTTGGCCACGTGCGAGGGGCGTGCCAAAATTGGTGCGGTAGCCGCATGCGAACGCTGGCATGCGGGCCTTCGGTGGAACTCCCTGCGGGGCAACGAAACGCGTGAGGGGTGCGCCAAAATAAATGAAGTGGCTGCATGCGAACGCTGACACTTGGGCCTTCGGCGGGGCTCCCCCCTATGGCCCCTATGCCCTATGGCCGTATGGGGCCACGAAACGCGCGAGGGGTGGGCGAAAATGGTTGACTGGTTCGGAGGCCAGAGGCAGGGGTCGGAGGAGGAAGGGGAGGGAGGAAGGGAAGAGGGGAGAGGGGGCGAACGCGGGTGGCTGTGAGTGTGGCCCAGCCTCAGCCCAGGCAAGCTGGCTCCTGTCATGCAAGGCTGAGACTCGGGCTGGGCTGCTTACCTGGCTTACCTCAATCTGGGCAGCCAGGACTGCTAGGATGCTAGGACCTAAGAGACTGTCAAGGTAGGCGCGGTGCCCAAAACCTTACTCCGGGCGCAAGCTGAAGCCAAGCTGGCCAGGCCAGGCCCCAGCAGCTGGCCACGCTCTGGGGAACCCAACGCCCAGAGCGATCCCAGGCCAAGCTTAGAATCTTAGAAGGCCCCAGGCCACTAGGCCCAATCCCCCACGCCCTCGGCCCTCGGCCCTCGGCCCAGGCCTCATGCCATGGCCTCGGCCTAGAGTCTAGAGGGCCTAGGGCCTATAGAGCCTAGGCTATATGACACCAAGGACCTAAGTTTAGGCCCTATGGCCCTATGGCCCTGCGCCCAAGGCCCTGGGTTCCAGGCCCTATGGCCCTAGGCCCCCTAGGCCCTAGGCTCTCCTCTCTAGACTCTAGACTTAGGCTCTAGGCCCTAGGCCCTAGGCTTAAGCCCCAAGCCTAAGCGCTAGATCCTGGGCTGCAGCCCTGCAAGCCTAATATGACTATGACTATCTATCTATGATGCCCCAGGCCGCAGGCCAAGCCAAGCTCAAGCAACTGGCCGTGCTCGGCGTGAGCCCGAGGCCCAAGGCCCTGGCCCAAGGCGATCCCAGGCCAAGCTTAAAGGCCCTAGGCCACGAGGCCCCAAGCACTCATGCCCTTGGCCCCAGGCCAAGGCCTGATGTCACGGCCTCGGCCCAGGCAGGGCCTAAGGCCGACCTAGGACCTAGGCCTATGGCATGGCCTAGGGCCCTAGGGCCTAGGGCCTAGGGCCTATGGCCCTATGGCCCCAAGGGCAGGCCATGGGCCATGGGCCCCAGGTCCTATCCTATCGGCCCTAGGCCATGAGCCCAGGCCCTTGGCCCTAGGCCCCAGGCAGCCCTGCAAGCCTGACCCCGACGCCCCAAGCCGCTGGCCCTGGGGCCAATGGATGAGGGCGTAAGGCATAAGATTGGTCCCAGGCAAGGTCCTGGTCCTAGGCCCTAGGCCCTAGGCCCTAGGGGCCCTAGGCCCTAGGCTAGACCCCAGGGTCTGGGGCCTGGTGCCGCGGCCCCGGGCCCTGGGCCCGAGGCCCTAACGAGGCCGAAGGCCGCAGGGCGTGGGCCTGCGCCCCAAACCAATGGGGCCTCACCCCCAAATCCGCCATGCGAAAACGGCCACCCCCCCCCCCCCCTTTGAGAGCTGCGCTGGGTTGTGGCACAGCCTCAGCCCAGGCAGGCTAGCGGCTAGCGGCTAGCGGCTAGCTGTCTCATGCTAGGCCGCGGCTAGGGCTGGGCTGCTTACCTCAAGCTAGCAAGGCAGCGAGGCGACTGTCAAGGCAGGCGCGGCGCCCAGAACTTACTCTGGGTACAAGCCGAGGCCAAGCTGGCCAGGCCAGGCTCAAGCAACTGGCCACGCTCGGGGAAAGCCCAAGGCGACCTCAGGCCAAGCTCAATAGGCCCTAGGCCCTAGGCCCTGGGCCTAGGCCCTGGGCCTAGGCCCTAGGGCCCTATAGGGCCTAGGCCTAGGCCCTCACGCCCTCGGCCCCAAGCCTGGGCCTGAGACCATGGCCTTGGTCTGTGGCCTTGAGCACCGAGGACGTAAG